GGGTTGTGGGAGTTCTGCGAGTCAGCCGTGCCTCCTCCTCCCGACTCAGAATCAGCCAGCGGTTCCCCCGACGCCATAACATTCTACGCCAGTTTGTCTAGGGTTTGCGTGATAGCATCCAACTTGGCGTTGGTGGATTGCAATTCTGCCCTGATGTCCTTCTGGTCCGCTTCTATCGCATCAATGCGTTGATCAACGGTGGAACGAGTCATGATGAACGTGGGGCGGTGGATAGGATCCGGCAGGTCGGACCAAATTGATGGAAGCAGAAAACCCTAGCAGACGATATTAACGTCTGCCCCAGCCTTAGGCTCAAACTAAATCTTTATTCTCGATAATGAATAACAGTTCACAAGACCTCCTTAAATACTCCTTAACCTAATAATAAAAATGGCCATCTAGGCCCAGTAACCTAATAATAAAATATGGCTATCTAGGCCCAGCAGTTTATTAGAAATAACAATTGAATGAAATAAAGTAATAAAACCCAGCAGTCAACCCAACCCAATTAGGTCCACTGACAGCGACAATAAACTAATAATGGGTGAGGCCAGTCCTCCTGAAGCATCGACCCAGTTGCCTCCTCCTAGAGCCTCGGCCCATCTGCCTCCTACTCCCTAACACTCACTCACTCATCAATTTTTTTATAAAACTATGAGGACTATAAGGGTCTTTTTGGAGCTTGGAAACTATATGGGAAATTTCGAGTGAAATAAGATGTAGGAGAAAATAAAACATTGGTTCAAACTGATGATGAAAATGTCGAAGATACACAATATTTGCACTGTTGTATTTAAATGTCTCCGAAAGAATTATTGTGGGTAACGGAACTTCTTGCGAATATCGAAGAAAATGTATAAAATGCTTCCTCATGATTTTCGTGTTTCCGTGCAATATAGATAAAATGTTAAAAGAATAGAATTATACACCCTTTGTCCCATTTTCGTAAGATACCATTTCATTTTTTGGTTGTTCCAAGAATATGAATATTTTGCAAGGTTGAACTCATCTAACTATTTACTTTCCTACTTCATCCCTTAATCTATCATCTCAATTTTTTACTTTTTGTGGGCTCGTACTACTTTTTCATACTTTTTTAAGGTTATAATTGTAAAAATACAACTAATCATTTATTTTCTTAAAACTCGTCTGAAACCCAAATGTATCTTACATTTCAGAAGTGAGAGAGTAGCAAAATCTTTAATAAAATATAGAAAACATATCAAAAAGAATTTTAAATAGTTATCATTCTCCTTGGAGTTTTCTCAGATAAAATTCAACACAAGAAAACAACTATCGTTAGCATTTTGTTTCCCTTTAAAGCTACTTATTATTGTGAGGTCTAAACATACCAAAGTGATTTTGTTTTTTATGTGGAAGATAGAAACATATACAAATGTTCTCATTGTCATAATATTCCAGGATTGACATTCAAACAAACACAAGACGGTTTCAGAGTCTCTTTCGGGTGAGATACAGTGGATGTGCAAAACTGTTATATCGCAATGAAATGTTTTAACATTCATATGTTCTTTAAACTGGCTGCAGTATCTTCTTGTGGAAGTCTCTCTTCTTCCTGATCGGTTGAAGAAGATACCCTTGCAGGTCTAAATTTATTGCTGATTCTTGTTTGATGAAATAGTTAGTTATATGCTCCGTTTGGCAGCCTTAGTTGGCTTATTCCGCTTATCAGCAAATAAGTAGAATAATCACAATTAGTAGCTTTTGGCTTAGTTATTAGTCTGAAATGGGACCAAACGGGCCTTTAATAGGCTTGCCTAAGGAGCATTTTCTTAAGAACCACTATCATGCCTCGTCTTGAACCGTCTTCAGGCTCAACGCAGTTTGTTTCTCCTCCTTTCAAGGTTTCTTCTTTTCTACGACTCAGGTAAGCAAAGAACCTAACTGTTTTGCATTAGAGGCTCAGACAAACTTGCTTAGTTGCTCCTTGTTTGCTCACAGTTGAACAGCTGGAAAGCTTCTTTAAGCAATTTCCTGATTATCCAAATGCTTTCTTGATTGGTGGTCCAGCTGATATTTTTGTGACTGAATTAGCTGATCAGGTAAGAGATATTTTACTCTAAGGGCCCGTTGGAACACGGAAAATTCTGGGAAAGAATAGTGCGGAAATTCAAAAGGGAAGAAAACTTTTAGGGAAAATTAACTGGTTCATACTTGATAAATAAAGTTTAGATACATGTTCCAAATCATTTTATTCAGATATTTTATTATATAGAAAGGCTAAAAAAAGAGTGTTTGCGTTTGCTTCTACTTTTGAGAGAGTTTTTTTCCCTGAATAATGCTAATTAAATAAATAATTCGCAAAGTACTGTTGGGTTAAAAATAATTCCCAAAATAAGCCGTGGTCTAAGAAAAGCCGTCAGTCAAAGTTTATATAGTAAATGATGGTAGTATTTGAAGAGAAAAGTGATTTGAAAAAGTAAAGGCTAGTGTTTTGTAAAAAGACTAATTAAGCAGAAGTTCTTGTTTGATAACACTATTTTTAGCTTTTTTTAAGGTTAAAAGCTCAAAAATACTTTTTTAAGCAAAAGAAAACACTCACTAATAGTATAGATAAATGTTAACTTGAATTTCTTTTAACCGAATTTAGTTTTTCCTGGATTTTATTTATTTATACCAATAACAGCTTCAGAAACTGAAGGTTGAGCCGGTGTTGTTGTATTACTTGTCCCAGATGAAAGTTTTTAGTGGTATGTACTTTTTAATAGTAGTTATGAAAAACCTTCGTTGATGTAGGAAGCCACTACATATTTTAAGATATAATATATTCTTCAGGGTTAGAATTGAGAATGGCAACAAGCACGAGACTGAAAACTTGTCTGTACAGCTTCACAAGCCCGGGTGCTCCTATGTATCCTACACGAGCAGTTCGCCATGCTGCCTGGGAGTCCCTAAATCTGCTTTTTCCTGTGAGGACTACCACATACTCAATTATAATTTAACTGAAGTTTTAGAAATGTGCTCACATATTAAAGAATATTCATATTCTTATAAAGGTCCAACATTAAATGCTTCTTATATCTTTTCAAGGCAATATAGCATTGCTTATGTAAAAAGTCAATGAGGACCGGTTTGGGAGATTAATACAAATATGTATTGATCTCCAAAAAATGACTTTTTTCGGGACAAAGAAAAATGCTACAATGACAACTAATTTGGGATGGAAGGAGTAGTATCTTCCTATAAATAGGACTAACAAACTCATAGCGCTTTAAATATGTCATGTGACCAACAGACCCATGCTCATTTCCCCCATTCATGTTTCCGTTGGCCTGTGATGCCAGTGGCAGCCCGCTGCCTTCCACTCGTTCAACTATTTATCAGAAATCAATGTCTCACTGACCCCTATTACGGTTCATCATTCACCTTTTCCCTGGTCAGTGAACCTCTGGTGGCCGCAGTGGTCAGTGAGCCATTGACTTGTGTGCACTAAGTGACTGAAAATACAAGGGCATATTAGACTATTGGGTGACAATTACTATCTCGTTTTTGCTCAAATAGCTTTCCTTTTTTGCATTCTGGACTTCTGTAATGCTTTATGGATGTTTTTAAAATTGTGAATTGGACAGCATGTGGTGGTTGTTGAAATGACATATTTGGTGCTTCCGCTGTGCAGGTTGGTAGGTATCCTAGACACTTAATAAGTATCTTCTTTCGATTGCTATACCCTTGGTACTGGCCTGCTTCGTGTTGGAACTTTGTAAAGGCATGCATCATGGCAGTGTTTTACGCAATTCTGAGATTGATCTTCTCTGTTTGGGAAAGATTAAGAAAACCAAAAGAAAGATAAAACCAGCAGAGCATATTTTTTAAGTTTCTTCTCAGTAGTGCTATAAAAATGTATGGTCACATAAACTGTTGTAAGCTGGAGGAAATGGGTAAAAGTTATAATTTTGTGTTATAGTTTCGACACTGATTTGAATTTATTGGTGCTGGAGTCAACAAACTGAGGCAGTACATGCTGTGTTATATATTCATTGTTTTGCCTCTTCGCTTGAGAATGTGTTCATGCTAGGAGCCTAGGAGTCGACACTAGCCAGTCATCTGAACCTCCCAAAAGGCCAAAAGTATGAACTGGTAGTGGGAATGGAAATGAGTTCCAAACAAGTCGGTTGAACTGGTTTTCAAATAAAAACTATATACCACGTATCATATTATTATTAAACATGGAACTGGAAATAAGTCTAAGTGTCTAACCAGTTGAACCAGATTTGAGTTCTTGTTCCAATCCTCAAAAACAGTTCCAATCAGAGTTAAAAAATCATTGGGATAAGGGTCAGATAGGGTCTCGAACTCGAAAAAAAATGTCAAATAAGGTCATATTTAGGATGCTCTGTCCGGCCGACGCCATTTGGGGCGGTTCCAGATGCCATTTTTTGATGAATTTTTTTGAGCATCTTCCTCATTAAGTCTAGTTTACCCATACCAAATTTCAGCAAAAAATTCAACCGGGAAGGTAGTCAAATGATTTTTTGAAGATAATTGTGAAGTTAAACAACCTCGTACATTTCGGAAAATCATTTGACTACCTTCCCGGTTGCATTTTTAGGTGAAATTTGGTATGAGTAAACTAGACTTAATGAGGAAGATGCTCAAAAAATTTCATCAAAAAATTCCATCGGGAACCACCCCAAATGGCGTCGGCGGGACAGAGCATCCTAAATATGACCTTATTTGACATTTTTTTTCGAGTTCGAGGCCCTATCTGACCCTTATCCCAAAATCATTTGACTGCCTTCTCGATTTAATTTTTAGATGAAATTTGATATGAGTAAACTAGACTTAATGAAGAAGATGCTCAAAAAATTCCATCAAAAAAATTCCACCAAAAACCGCCCCAATTGGCGACGGCCAGGCAGAACATCCTATATAAGGGGCTAATTGAACCCTTTAAGTTAGTTCATGTACCTATTTGACGCTTTAGCCTTTCAAATATAACTTTTTTATAATATAACAGAATCAATCCAACTAAAACTCATAATTTCAAAAATGATAAACTGAAATGTGTTAAAATAACTGGCGGTGGCACATTGTGTATTTGTGTTAATTCCGGTCCAAACTCTAATGTGGTGTTAAAATTCAAAAGCATAATACTCATTGTGAGAAAAGGTTTCAAATCCAATATCACAACCAAGGCGTTAACGGTTAACCCATGGATGTATGTGCGATTGTGCGAAGGCATAATACTCATTTATGTATGTGCAAGTGCAGTTGAACATTATGTTATGGGTTACCACTTTTTTGCATTTTTAAGAGTAAAGGATCAAATTGATATGGAAGTTGCATAAAAAAGTCAAATAAGTCCTTATATAGGAGGCTCTGTCCGACCGTCGCTATTTGGGACAGTTTTGAGCATCTTATTCATTAAGTCTAATTTACTCATACCAAATTTCAGCTAAAACTTCAATCGTGAAGACATTCAAATAAATTCTTGAAGATAAATGCGTAGTTATCTTCAAGAATTCATTTGAGTGTCTTCCCGATTGAAGTTTTAGCTGAAATTTGAATGAGTAAACTAGATTTAATGAATAAGATAGTCCTGGACTCGGGCCGGTTCGGGTCCGGGCCGGGCCTAAGCCCGTGCGGGCCGCCGATTCTGAATAGGTGGGCCCGGGACCGGCCCAGGTAGCCACCGGGTCTGGTCCGGGTCCGGGTCGGGGCGGGCCTCGGTTCAATTTTTTTTTTCCTTTTCCTAATTAACCCCCCACCCTCCAACCCCCCAAACCACCCCAAATGGCCCAAAATACCCAGCCCAACCCGAAAAGTTAAAAAAAATGAAAAAGAAAAAGTTAAAAAAGCCCAGAACCGGGCCGGTTCGGCTTTTGGGTGACCCGAGCCCGCACCGGGAACCCCCCGGGCCGGGCCTACCCGGACCGGTCACTGACCGGGCCGGTTCAGCCCAATACCCGTCCCGGGCCGGTTCCAGGTCGGGCCACCCGGCCCGAGTCCAGCACTAGAATAAGATGCTTAAAAAAGTTAATCAAAAAATTCCACCAGAAACCGCCCCAAATGGCGACGGCCGAACAGTAAGAACTTAGTTTACCCTTTTTATGCAATTTCGAGGACCAATCTGACCCTTTACTCCATTTTTAGATATATGTTTACCAATAATGTATCCATTGAAAAGAGGTCAGTGATTTTGTTGACTTATGGCCTTATGGGTAAGGCAATAAGCCATGGTAGTCACCAAATCAACACAATGTGCCACCGCCAGTTAGTTAATAATAAGTGCCAAAGTGCATAAACATTTGAATGGGAATCTATGAGGCGAAAAGGCTCGAGAAAGCTCGATGAATTCATCAAGTACAAATTGGCACAATAGTTACACAAACTGTATAGAAACAACGATATGATGTCAGGGAATGGATCAATTTTCTTGCATCGATTCCGAATGGTACTTCTCCAACTCTGCATCAAGGTCTTCCGCAGATATTTTCTCCCCTCCACGGCCTCTACCTTGTCCCCGACCTCTTCCTCGAAACCCACCTTGTCCACCCCTTCCCCGGCCACCACGTGGTCTTCCAAAAACATCACCCCGTCCAGGACCACTGTTCAAATCCAAAACTCAGAAACATGAGTACATCAAACAGTTTCCGGTATTTTAGAACAAGCTTGTGAAAATGCAAAGTGAAAAGAAAGATAAGACAAATATTCGGGTATTTGGTTGGTTTAAAGGATTTGTGGATTTTGCAAGAAAACAAGGAAACGAAAGTTCGAAGTGATTTTTTATGATACCTAGCGAAGTATACCTAAACTTTGTTAGTAGTATACGGATCGTGAATAATACAATAGTACGTCTGTTCGTGTATTTACAGTACGATTACATAAATTACGGCTACACACATGTTTTATGTGCTCATGACATAGATCCAGATAGAGGTAAGGGTCAGATTGGTACTCGAATTTGCTTAAAAAGGGTCAAATAAGTCCTTACTGTCCGTCCATCGCCATTTGAGGCGGTTCCTGGTGGAATTTTTTGATGAAATTTTTTGAGCATCTTATTCATTAAGTCTAGTTTACTCATACCAAATTTCAGCAAAAACTTCAATCGGGAAGGCATTCAAATGAATTCTTGAAGATAACTACGCTTTTAACTGCGCAGTTATCTTCAAGAATTCATTTGAATGTCTTCCCGATTGAATTTTTAGCTGAAATTTGGTATGAGTGAACTAGAGGTAATGAATAAGATGCTCAAAAAAATTCGTTAAAAAAATCCACCGGGAACCGCCCAAAATGACGACGGCCAGACAAAGCCTCCTATATAAGGACTTATTTGACCCTTTTTATGCAACTTCGAGTACCAATCTGACCCTTACCTCGATCCAGATACATACACGTTTTACACGTTTCACAATTTTAAAATATGGCATATGATAAGTGTCTTATATACCAATTAATAATATAATGAGTAATTTAACATATGGGACAAACTTCTTCAACAGTTTAAGATGTACTTTCTTCGAGTAAAAAAAATTGAATTCATAGATATAACTGTATAACAAGTAATAACTACAATAAAAACACCAACTTTAAATCAAATTATACCAACTTCAAACTTTCTATTGCAATCAGGCCATGTAAAAATAAATCTCAAATCAAGGAGAGGAATAACATCAAGTTCACATAACTTTAAATGAAACAATAGCGTAAAAACAGGGGGAAACGATATAAAATCTGAAGTAATCAGCATTAAAACTTTTTTCAAATAGTAAATTTGATGATAAAAAATAAAAAATAAACATAAATTCTTTAAATTTAGAACATTGACAAAGTCAAACGGGACAAAAAAGGGCATAAATTTGATTTAATAAACTAATATGAATGAAAGTTGATTTTCATTTTTAGAAAACCTGATAGAGACTTACTGACTTAAATAATTAACTAACAAACAGGGCATACTAGTTTCTTAAGAATAATAAATAGTATTGGGCAACTAGACACTTCGGATTAGTTTTGCCACTTTATCCTTTAAGGAATGTGAATTTTTTCCGAATTGTTGAAAAATTCATAAACGGGAATATCATAGTTCTACGTTTTGATGAATTATATGTGAACTATACGCGAATAAAATAACAAGGGGTACCTTTATGTATTGGAGATCCTCTAATACAATTAGGTCTATCAAAGGATCAGGTTTCGACCCGGATATGAACCAGATTTGCCTCATTATTCGTAGGTGTGGATAAATTAAATATGTTTACCTGTTCCGGACCCATTTTAGAAATTTAAAAGAGGTCAGGATATAAATAAATAGTAGGTATAAAAATTATTTATTTTCTCCGCCCCGTTAAGATTGTCTCATTTTTCCGTCTATCGCACTAAGATTGTCCCATATCAAATTTGATAAAGTTTTGTAGTTCTACATCATTCTTACATTATTCTTACTTTATTAATTCAATATTAACCACATAAACTCACTTTTCTTTATAATTGCACCACATTTTCATGTCACAGTGTTAATGGGATGGAGGTGGTAGTAGTTAAAAAGTATATTTAGTTTACATTTTAAAGTTTTACATTTAAACAAGGTTGTCAAAGTAGAGCGCTTCAGCGCTTAAACGCACCAGGCGCAGCGCAATAGAGGTCTAGCGCTTGAAAGATGACCAGGCGCACCCTCCTGTCTCAGGCGCAGCTTAGGCGCATAAAGCGCAGAAGCGCCGAAGCGAGAAAAGCGCACGCTTTAGTCGCCTGGGCTGGGAAAGGTTTATCAGCCTAATTTTTTTGTTTGATCCTATTTTAAATAATAAGCCCATACTAATAATAAGATTTAGCCCGTCCAAATAATAGGTAAACACAACTTAAACCATACTTAGTCGTGGGAAAAGTCTTGTGCAACATGCACAGCTCTAAAACACATTCAACGAAGCCATAAGGTGTCGTCTTCTTCTTCATCTTCCCACGTTCTTTCTTCTTTTTCAGCTTGTAGTTTTCATTTATCTTGTAGTTTTAGTTGAAATTTGGTATGAGTAAACTAGACTTAATGAATAAGATGCTAAAAAAAATTCATCAAAAAAATCCACCGGGAACTGCCCCAAATGGCGACGGCCGGACAGAACCCCCTATATAAGGGCTTATTTGACCTTTTTATGTAAGTTCGATGGCCTATCTGACCCTTTTCCCGAAAATATTTACTTTCACGTCTTCTTCCCCCAACAAAAATGCATAGTTCCTCCAGTTCTTCAACACTTCAAAAGCTTCAACTCCTCATCTCCGGTAACGAAGCAACGTTGGAAAAATCATTGTTCTAAAATAGTCTTCTTGTTTAAGAAGGACGTCCAAAGTAATTGGAGTAGTGAAGTGGGGATACTTCAAAGAAGACTTAGTGAAAAGGACCAGTCATAAGGAAGTGCATCTCGGGTGACAACTAGGCTTGAAGAAGACGTGGAGAGCTTCTTAAGTGCTAGGATTAAGGCGTTGTAATTTGATCCTTTACAAGCTTAGTGGAACAGTGGACTAAAGGAACACGTTTTTCCTTGAAACACTATAAAAATCACTGGTGTCCTTTACTTACTGCATTTAATACTTGTTTAGATTCTAACTGTTTGACTCTAAAAGACTTGGACTCTGTGTTCAGCAGATCTGGTCTCAAGAGTTGACAAAAGGCCAACTGCCTTAGTAAGTATTTGAGGCTACCTGAACAGAACCCCTACTAGAACATCATCCGCTGCCGGTTTGTTCTACTTAAGAACAGACTATCCTGTTAAGTCTGGTACATAGACTTGAAAAAGTTAAAAACCAGAACAGTCTATTCACCCCCCCTCTAGACTGTTCCTTGTGTAATTGGGACCAATATTTACATTGGATTAGACTGGACCAGAAACATTAAGAATAGACCAAATGTAATATTTCGGACACGAAATTTTGAAAAAAATTAAAGAAAGCTTATAGACCAGTCCAAAAAACATTAGGACATGGCTTGAAATATGAATATCACTGCTCTGATATCATGTATTGATTTATGTTAGTCGACCCCAAAATATTTTGGGACTAAGGCTTGGATGTTGTTGTTGTTGTAGAGTCCATGTCCTATACCACGTTGTATAAATGTTGAAAGGAAAGGGTTGTCTATTAAAACAAAGAGTAATGATCTTGTTAGGTAGTTCTAGTTCTGTCAGGAACCGCCGTCCAAACTCGCCCATTTGAGATGCTTCCGGGCAAAAAAAATTGATGATGTTTTGTGAGCATGTTCTTGATGAAGTATAGATTATGTCCACAAAATTTTAGCTTAAAATTCAAGCACGAGGTCAATTAAATAAATTACTGAAAAACATTGCGTCGAAATGTATATAAAAAAGCAGTGTTTTTAAATAAGTTATTTAACTAACTTCTCGGTTTGAATTTGAAAAAGTTAAAAACCAGAACAGTCTATTCACCCCCCCCCCCTAGACTGTTCCTTGTGTAATTGGGACCAACATTTACATTGGATTAGACTGGACCAGAAACATTAAGAATAGACCAAATGTAATATTTCGGACACGAAATTTTGAAAAAAATTAGAGAAAGCTTATAGACCAGTCCAAAAAACATTAGGACATGGCTTGAAATATGAATATCACTGCTCTGATATCATGTATTGATTTATGTTAGTCGACCCCAAAATATTTTGGGACTAAGGCTTGGATGTTGTTGTTGTAGAGTCCATGTCATATACCACGTTGTATAAATGTTGAAAGGAAAGGGTTGTCTATTAAAACAAAGAGTAATGATCTTGTTAGGTAGTTCTAGTTCTGTCAGGAACCGCCGTCCAAACTCGCCCATTTGAGATGCTTCCGGGCAAAAAAAATTGATGATGTTTTGTGAGCATGTTCTTGATGAAGTATAGATTATGTCCACAAAATTTTAGCTTAAAATTCAAGCACGAGGTCAATTAAATAAATTACTGAAAAACATTGCGTCGAAATGTATATAAAAAAGCAGTGTTTTTAAATAATTTATTTAACTAACTTCTCGGTTGAATTTGAAGCTGGACTTTATGGACATAATATGCACTTCATGAAGAACATCTTCAAAAAAATCATCAAAATATTCCATCTGAAAGCACCTCAAATAGATAGGTTCGGACGGCAGTATATGTCAAAACTAATTGAGGTGAACTCTTTTCTAAAACAAAATACTCTGGATTAATTTGGTTTTAAAGAATACGCAAGTGCATTAAATATTGAAAGGGATATGAAATATAAAGCACCAGGACAGTATTGGATAAAAATAATCTCAACAAATTGTATAACCAAAAAGAATAGTTGAAACCAATGAAATATGACAAACCTTCTAGGAATTACACTGAAAGCTCCAAAGGCACCACCAAATGCAGGTTGAACAGGAGGAGGTGTCACAATGTTTGTTCCTACCATCTCTATCTTCATAGGTTTGCCATCCAGTTGAACATTATTGTACCTTTTCACAGCTGATATTGCATCTTGTCGACGCGAAAAGACAACTTCTGCTGTTCCCTAGAAAAAAGCTTTTTTAATTTATTTAACAGAACTAATACATAGCCCATCACAGGGGTATGACTGCATACATCCGACCCCCCTTACTCCACCATAGGTGGGAGCCTTCGCAGCATTGGGGTAATGATGATGATGATGATGAACTAATACATAGCCCATCAAACTGTATTGTCTATTTATCCAGAGATGTACCTTTGATCTCCCACTCCTATCATAATGAATTGAATATCTTTTCAGGTCACCAACCTCAGCAAAGAGTTCCTGCAATAAACAAAGTCACATCACATCCATTCAAATTGATTTGTCAATATTCTACACACTAAAAATTGCGTAAAACTACAAGAAGCATGCTTTAGCTACTTAATCAAACTAGACTGACACCCAACGACAGCATATGGAAAACATAATGTAAACTATATATCTGATGAAATGGGCAGTTTAGTGCATCAGCAAAGTAAACTGAATAATATTATTCCATTTTGTAAGATTGTAAAGGAGAGGAAATGAGGCTAGACACATGGACGAAATGAATCTCTGGATTTCCCAACCAGATAAACAACTTTTAGCACTAATGTCATTACCATCCCCGACAGGATTACCACTTCAGCCTTTATTATGGAAACCCATTCATCACTAGACACTTCATTAAATCTACTAATGTCAGATAAAAATATGTTCATTCTATATGCAGCCAGATTGGCTATAAATCAGTCATTCAAATACACATCACTTCATTTACACTTACATCTACCTCTAACCGAAACTAAAGTGGTAATTACATCAGAGATGATGATTGATGATGAAAGGGAAGTAATTACCTTGATGTCTTCGTTTGAGACACCGTACTCTAGGTTGGAGATGTAGAGCTTAGTGCCAGTCTCTATTGAAGATGCTCTACCCCCACCCCCACTAAATTGCCCGGGAAACGGTATTGGTTGAGCCGCCACAAACATGTCATGATCCCAAGCTACATCCTGGGCATCGAGCAGATACAATTTCAAAAGTAAAGTAAAAACAAACACACAAGTATATACGCATTCAATGTAAAGCACACACTAATGAAGAAATGTGCGCTATGGAGATAAAAGAGTAAACCTTAGGGGTACTGTACGGCGCAGATCGGCTGGCTGGGCGGTTGGAATTCCGGCGAACGGGTCCCGGGCCAGCTCCGCGTCCTCTCCCCCGAAAATTTCCTCCGCCTGAATTTCTATTCTTCTTAATTAGATCGTCGAGGGACATGTCTAGGGATGCATCTGCCACCATTTCTGAAAATCGAGAGAGAAAGAGAGGGAAAATGAACGAATAGGGTTTGAGGATCAAATTTTGACCGAAACACCAATGACTGAGGGAGGCCAAATGACTGAATGAGCCTTAGTGAACAGAACTTATAATAATTGTTAATGTTTATAAATTAACTGTTCTCAAATGTAACAACACGGTGTCGTGGTGTAGTTGGTTATCACGTCAGTCTAACACACTGAAGGTCTCCGGTTCGAACCCGGGCGACGCCATTATTTTTGTTTTGCGTAATTGTAAAGTATTCCATTTGTGGAGAACTTACACAAACAAAAAAAGGGCCCAACCGGGTTCGAACCGGTGACCTCTTGATCTGCAGTCAAATGCTCTACCACTGAGCTATGGACCCAAGTTGATATCATATTGACCCTAAATTATTTTAATCTTTTAATTTCACCGAAGTTCCACCAAATTGACACCGATGTTGTGATTTTATTGGTGAATTATATACTCCCTCTGTTCCACTTATATTGTCTCATTTTACCTTTTCAAAAAATCACTTTAAAATTATCTCATACCCAATTGGTAAATATTGTGTAAATATAAAGCATTTTTACTTCATTCTTACTTTATCAATCAATATCAATCACATAAATTCACTTTTCTTAATAATTGTGTCACCCTCTTTCATCCCAATATTAGTGAGGCTGAGATAGTAATACTTCTCGTTTAAAAGATTTCCATAGTAGAATGACATGGTTATTTAGATACTAATCAAGTAGAGTGATTCGAGTATATTTTGAGAAAAAGTTTTGATCGGTGTATAATATAACGAGGTCATTGATGAATTAATCCTAAAATATAAATGAGGACCTTTATTCGGAATATTCGAAAAAGAAAAGTGAGAACCTTAAGATGTCACGAAGTGTGTAATAAGTATGTTCACATATACAGAGTAATAAGATAGGACTATATAAAATACTTTGTGATTAAATGTGTGTTTTATACATTCATAATATGCAGACGTATACACATACGTTATGCATTCGTAACATGGATATAGATACCAATATGTTGTAAAACGCTCTACAATTTAATAACATGTGTGTGTTCTTTTTTTTTGTTGGAGGACCAACCACATATCAGTTGGCTTGGCTGATGGAGGACCAACCAGATATCAGTTGGCTTGGTGTTGGTGTTTCGGAGTATGTGGGTCATGGGGTCTAGACGCGTATACTCTATCAAAGGATTTGATGGGACCAGCCTCTCCCAGTTTGTTGAAACCTCTAGAAAAAAACTCATAAGCTATGGTAAATATGTAAGGAGAGAGGGGGTCTCATTGTTTCACCCATCTACTTGGCTGAAAGAAACCCACATGGGCGCCATTGATTAAGACTGATAGGAAGGTGGCCTTTAAGTTGCCCAAGATAATAGAGATCGTGTGGTAAAAGAATCCAAATTAGCAAGCACACCTTGGGTGAAATCCTTAGAAAGAATGCTTTGGTCATGTCAAGCTTAAGGATAATGCTTGTGTAACACTATCCCTAATTATATTTACTTTTGTGTATATATGTATGAACTTTGAGAAACGAGTAATGAATTTGCGAGGCTGTAACTTTTTGTTATTACTTTTACGTGAATAGTAAACTGCACATGGGGCCCACACCGGGAGCGGGGACCGTCCGATATTTTTGGGGCCACATATTATATTCATCTTGGTCTATATAACATGTATATGGCGGTGGATATCCAAGTTGGGCCATGGGAAGGGCATAGAGTTGACCGGCTAGTCAAACAGGCCCAAATTACCTATACAGCTATATCAGCATTTCTTTAGAAAACAACCCGTAATAAATTATGGGGAGTTCTAAATTAAATTTGTGGAATGCATTTTCATTCTAAATGCTCATAATGATTGAGACATGATATATATTTTATTTGACCCGATAAAATAAAATGCAATTAAAACAGCTCGAGAAATACAACTGAAGGGGCCGATTGTACACTTCGGGGCATTAAGGGATGACCTCCCAGATGAGTGGGCCACCCCACGTAAATATCTTGGCAAAAAAAGCAAGGAGGTGTGGGAACGGGCTATGAGATGGGTGAGGTGTAATTTGAGATGAATCAAAACAAAACATGGGGTCCTCTTTTCTTTCACTCATTGCCCAAATGAGACAAGAGTTGTATCCCTACCCTTCCCCCTCAATAGATCAACCAAGACCAAAGGAAAAAAGAAAGGAAGCTCTGCATATTACCATCTCCATAGCTAAATTCGAGCTCAAGCTCAAGAGGCCCAATATGGAAGTTTAAAAGGGGGAAAAGGAGGAAAAAGTGTGGTGAATAAAGTTAATTCCTTCGGCGGCACCAGAGACATTATCATTACTGTCGATGGGATCAAGAAGCTGAAGGATGCATCGAGGGACATGCAAATCACATCGGATGTGAAGTTGATTGTTTCTTCACGATTGCTTGAGGGGATAACTTCTACATTGTGGGAAAGTGTAGAAGGAAAATATTGTGGGACTATCTCATGGGAAAACTTTGAGCAGAAGTTTTATGCTCAATATTATTACTTCGATTATGAAGTCAATGTGAAGCGGAGGGAGTACACTAATCTCAATCAAAAGGAAGGTGGCACTGTTAAGCAGTTGGAACATGAATCTAGAACCCTGTATAGGTTCTTACCAGAAGATGCGGCCGATGAGGACTGCAGGACTGAACATGTTTGGGATGCCTTACTACTCTGGGACATCCGCGATAGGGCTACTTACTCACGTCACATGAACTTCAGCGAGGTGGTGGAGCAAGGCCTTCTTGGGGAAACCCAATGGAATGAGAAGAAGCCAAGAGACGCCGAGGAGGCGAAGAAAAAGAAATAGAACAGATCAGGACAATCGGATCATTCCCAAAAAAAACCATGGTGGTGGTGGTGGTTCATTCAAGGCACCGCCGTCGCCGACAAAGAAGAATTAGGATGCGAAGTGGCATGAACCTAGGCCACAGGACTCGGGAGCACCTAGATGTCCCAATTGCTCTAAACAGCACTTTAGGAAGTGTAATGAACCACCCAGGTGTTTCAAGTGTGGGAACGTGGGCCATATGAAGGAAAATTTCCCTCAATTGGCGCAAGGGAACGCATCGGGAGTTGGGGGAGGGCTCACAACGGGGAGGAACCGTGCGGCGCCATCACCGAGCAAAAACGTGTCTGTCAACCAATGTGGGACCCAGGCGAGGGTCTATGCGATGACCGAGAGCGATGCTCGGGCCAACCCCGACTCTGTTGCAGGTAATCATTTTATTACACTTGTCTTTTGTCATGTACATAAGTGTTAAAAGCTTTAGGAAGCATGTACGGGTCGACCGACGACATTCCCGCCTCAATTTTGAGCAAAAACGAAGTAGAAACTGCCCAAGGGTGAATCGGCACCAGTCAGGGCTCAAACTGGCTCCGATCTAATGGCATGAGTAAGCTCTTGAGCTATGAGTATATGGTAATCAATTTATCTATTGCTCATGAAGCCAGCCTATTCAATGGAAATAAGGTTTGGTAGGGTTGAGAATAGCCTGTCAGCCAAGACTTTAGTGCAGATAGGTCTGTAATCCGAGAAGGATTTAGGATTATCGATCTTAGGAATGGGAGTAATGAGTGTACCGGGGAGAGCTTAAGGGATGTGGTTTTCTAGGAAGAAGCCTTGAACTGCTATTAGCATATCTTGTTTCACAATATCCCAACAGGTTCTGATTTGTTTTGTTTAATCCATCTGGACCTAGAGTCCCATTTTTGTTTAAACTCCAAACTGCCATTTTCACTTCTTCAAGATCAGGCAATTTGCTAAGATATTGATTGTCACAATCAGTGATCAAGTTTGGTTTATTTTGGCAGCCGTGACTCATTCACTTTAATTTGAGATGCAATGTAGAGGTGTTGAAAGAAATTGATGGTTGTTTGGCTATTAGATTCTTGATCTGTGAGGTATGAGCCATTTATGTCCTTAATAATATGGATTTGCATTCTTGTTTTCCTTTGCTTTACAGATGAATGGAAGAATTTGGAGTTGTTCTCACCTTCTTTAAGCCATTGGATGTGTGTTTTATGTTTCCAAAAGCTGGCCTGAGCTTTGATTTTAGCCATAAGAGTAGCTCTAGCTTGGGACCAAAGCATCATGTTGAGTGGGGTGGGGTTGTTGTCATAGGTGGTTTCTGCCACATCAACTTGTTCTTCAATTGTCTTGATGTCATAAAAAATGTTTCCAAGAGTGTCTTTATTATAGGCATTAAGATCATGTTTGAGGGTCTGAAGCTTTGAGCACAGTCCTCTCATACCCCCTCCAGATTTTTTAGAGTTCCAGATTGTTTTAACTACTTCAAGGAAGATATGGCGTTTAATCCACATTTGTTTGGAATTTGAAGGGTTTGGGGCCTGTGGGGGGGTTAAGGTTTTGCATAGGATAAGGAGGGTGGTCTGTAGGTGGCTAACAAGAATTTGGTCAAACATGTCCAAGAATTTTTCATTAAAGAGTACCCTGTCAACACGTCTCCATGTTTTTCCGTTAAATCTAAACCCAGACCAAGTGAAATTGTTACCTTTTAAAGGGAGACCAACACGTTATACTCCTGTTCATAGAATTCTTGCTCAAAGCTGTACCATAAACGACACCATAGAACTCCCCTTCCATGCTTTCCCACTAAGTAGAAACTACCCCTTCGAGCAATCATGCAGCAACACGCAACTTTACATTAGGCGTTCTTTGCAATTCCGAGCCGCATCTTTAAGCTTCTTAATCCAATTGGATGCATCAATAATGTCCTTAGTGTCAGCAAAGGATTTACACCCCAAAAATCCAACCTCTTTGAGGTACTTGGAGATTCCAACACGCAACCCCCCCCCCCCCCCATGTCCTCCTTGGGATGTTCCTAAAGCTGCCCTATAAGCTCGCCGACTTCCATGTCTTGAGCCTCCTTGAGAGGCATGCCTAGCTTGATGCCTAAGATCTCTTATATGCTTCTCTCTTTGGTACCTTTCAAGTGCCTCCCCCATTTGGTCAAAACGGTGGTCATCTTCCTCATCACCGATATCAAAATCACCCCATCACACGTGAA